TGATTTGAGTGTTGTTTCACCAATGGTGATATGGGGATGATGGAAGGCTTCCTGAGGTGCAGGCTGATATAAAACTTCTGTCTTCTTCAAGCTGACTTCCAGGCCAAAAAGCTCAGCAGCCTCTGCAAAGCAGGATGTTAAACGCTGCAGAGCTACTTCTGTGTGGGCGACGAGAGCGGCATCATCAGCGTAAAGCAGCTCACGGATAAGATGATTTAAGGTCTTAGTGTGGGCCTTCAGTCGCCTTAGATTGAAAAGGCTCCCGTCGGTACGATATCGAATGTAGACACCGTTTTCAAAATCGAGGTCTGCCGTGGCCCTTTGGAGCATCATGCTGAAGAAGATCGTGAATAAGGTTGGAGCGAGAACGCAGCCTTGCTTCACACCATTAGCTATTGGAAACGGCTCAGAAAGTGCGTCCCCATATCTGACTTGACCGCGCTGGTCCTCATGAAGCGAGATGATCATTTTGAGGAACTTGGGAGGACATCCTAAACGTTCCAAAATCTGCCACAGACCTTTTCTGCTCACAGTATCGAAAGCCTTGGTGAGATCAACAAAGGTAACATAGAGTCCTTTGTTCTGTTCCCTGCATTTCTCTTGCAGTTGTCTGAGAACAAATACCATGTCTGTGGTACCTCTGTTGGCTCGGAAACCACACTGGCTTTCAGGTAGAAGATCTTCTGCTATGGTGGGTATTAGTCTGTTCAAAAGAATTCTGGCAAGGATTTTACCAGCAATGGAGAGCAGAGTAATAGCTCGGTAATTTGAGCAGTCTGATTTATCTCCTTTCCTCTTGTACAAGGTGACGATGACAGCGTCACAAAGGTCTGAAGGCACTACACCTCGTTCCCAGCAGCGCACCACAAATTCATGAAACTTAACATGGAGTGCTTGGCCACCGTACTTCCAAATTTCAGGTGGGATTCCATCAACTCCAGCTGCCTTGCCAATTTTCACCTGCTGTATTGCTTTAAGAGTTTCTCCCATGGTGGGGGCAGTATCCAGTTCAGTGTTCATTGGTTGTTGTGAAATGAACTGCATTGCTGAGTCCTGAACTACACGGCTAGTACTGAAGAGAATTTTATAAATAAATGAGTGATCAAAGGTGATGTTTTGTGGTTTTTTTCAATCAAAAGGTGCTATCAAACTTTGAACATAGTACTTTTAACTGAAATTTCACACGGGCCTCAACAAGTACTTAAAACCTGGAAAGCAAGAATTGCTGCCATCAAAAGGAAATAAACTGATTCTTTCGTTTTTACAAGACACTTATATTAAAAATTTACTGCAGAAATTATCCAACTGATTGCAAACAGGGTGAATTGTTACAGCATTAAAATATAAATGTCTGAACTCACAAAACTGATTTTAACCACTTCAATCATCAATGCTTAAGTAACAGTAAGGTAATTTTCTCTGGATAGAGTTTAAGCAATGTTAACTATTATTTCACAGACAGCTTCTCACTTACCTAATTTCATTTATTCCCCAGCAGGATTTCTGGAATATGCAATTCATTTCAACACTTTCCCTTTCACAAGAGACAAAAGGTAACATCTTATACATTCAAGAAAATCTGCCAAACTTCTGGTGGTTTTAGAAAATTACAAATTGTTTCACGAAACGAAAGGACAATTTACTAGGATGTATGTTTAATCAGTCAACTAATTAATACAACATAACACAACAGACTCTACAAACAGACAAGTTAGAAATCGTTGCTGTGTACAAGCGTGTCAGACACAGAGGGGCACAGAGAGGAACAGACAAAGCCCTTGCGCTTCAAGCAAGCTTCTTACCACAGCTCCAACTGCTGTGAAAAGTCAGCATGACATGAGAGCTCTACCAGTTCAACCCAGAGAGCAATAAAATGCAGGGTTCTCTTCAGAAAGGTACAGTGAAAACTCCCATCAGGCTGTTTTTCCCTTTCACAGACCTCAGCAGTCACTGAGGCTGAAATAACACTCTGGGGAGAATTATGTTAGCATTGCAGAAATTTCAGATGCCTTTACGGCATTTTAAAAAGACCTGTGAATTACTGTGAAACAAAGGGATTCAATCCAACATAAGGCTTCATCAAGGGGAAAAAAAAGTCCATAAGTTAACTTCTAACAGAGGAGCATTTAGGGACTACCCCACATACTAAAAAACGTTACCAACACCACCATCCAAATCCAAAGTGATTTCCTTCTCTGACACCATTTATCTGCTACAAAGTTCAAGATTTTTGAAGGCTTATAACAATTAAGCTTTCAAGACAGCTTTATGTTTAAACCATACCAA